TACCTGGTATGCTACCTGAACTCTTCAGACGTCTGGTTCCTATCACCACCACTGTGAACAATTCTGACTCTCCAGAACAGAGCATTTCACACCAAACCACTCTGAATGACTTTGTTTACATCTTAACCCTTTAATTATGTATTGTGATACTGGCTTTTGCAACGCTGATATCACAGAAGGGTGCAATAGGCAAATGATTGCTTCATCCATGTACAGTTTTTCTGACCGATCACAGCTGCTGATGAGTTTCTGTAGTTCAGCAGAGGTCAGTTATGTTCACAGTAATGCTGTCCAGTCACGTTACTCCCAGTGTGAGGGTACTGCGAGCACCAAAAGTGACTAGTGCGCTAGAGTAGAGCTTGATTTGAGACACAACCTTTCTGTCTCTCCCTCCCCACACACAGAGCTTTTCTTCTCCTTTTCTTGAAGATGTCCTGTGTCGTGGTAGCAGCCACCCCCGAGGGTCTTCTTTTGACTTTTTTTCTTTCTTTCTTTCTTTTTCTTTCTTTCTGAAAGTCTCTGGTTTCTCTTTGACAACCTCGTTATCCTCTGTGATCAGCTGCTCATGGCCTGGTTGGACCGCTGATCTCTCTCTCTCCTTGCTCTTTTTTTTCCCCTCACTGTCTTTCTCTCGCTCTGCTCGTTTGCCCAGTTGGAGAGTCCAGACTGAAGCGGTCAAGCTCCAGTGTAGCTGAAGAAGAGCCACTTGAAGCCTATTTGGAGAGAGAAAGGGAGAGGAGGAGGGAGAGGAAAAAAAGAAAAGGGGCTGTCTGTGCTGCGAGTTAGGCCCTATTGGAGACTAAACTCTGGAGCCAGTTGTCAGAAGGGCCAGTTCTTCCATTTAATGAGAAAATGGTCCAATTTAAAGCCGCCGTCAGGAACTGCTGTATCAGCACCGCAGTGCCCAGACAGCTCCCTCCCAGAGAGCAGAGCGCATGGACTGTATTAGGGCTGTACGTCTCACTGTGAAATCTCAGAAGTGGAGTAAATATAGACACAGTGTACGTATAGAAACAATATGTCAAGTTTTTTTCTTTTCTTTTTTTTTTTCTTTTACAGTTGTGCATACTTTATTGAACATTATTATAATTAGAATTGATCATAAACATTTATACCCTTTTAAAATTCATGCAGTAGGCCGTATCGTTGGGAGATTAAGAGTTAGATCCCTTGCAATGGCACAGCCATTCTTGCCCCGTCATTTAGCACGAGGTGTTTGTTGAAAAGAACTTGAGCCATCCAGTGATGTTGCATTAGCAGTTTGGAAAGATGCAGGAAATGTTTGCTAACCTTCACCCTCCTGGGTTGGTTGGGGCTGATCTAGCTGGCCTGGACTAAAAGTTAGGGAGTAAAAGATTGGGTAAAAGTACAAAAAAAAGATCACTTTCTCATATCAGACATTGAATGATGGCTAGTTAGCACAGCTGTTTGACAGCTAACTGTGGCTTAGACAAATGTGAGAATTTTCTCTGTTTAAAAATTACGATAAATATTGTATTATCTTAGTTTAATGTTGTTTCAGTGTATTATGGTCCTTTTCTTCATAACAAGCATAAAAATCACTAGTCGTGCTGATGTCTCGTTAGCTAGCTAAATTTCCTCTTCCACTTTAAATAGTGCAGCAGTTACATTCTGGCACCTCAGGCATCAGAACTGCTGCTCCATTTAAGGTGGAACAGGAACATTTGAACAAGAAGCTGGCAAATAACTGACTTCAGCTTCATATCACTGAAGAATTAGGGGTGGACAATAATAAATAATTGCCTCGCTTTGAAGGCATGTGATTTCCCTAAATGTAACTAAAGCCCAGCAGTGAGGTTGCTGAACTTTACCCTCCTCTGCTATCACTGCAGACTGGCAGGGTCGCCTACAGAGCAGCGCTAGTAGCCTGTTAATGAATTAATGTTCTTTATTAGAGGGTCCCGTTTCGTAGAGGAAGATTTCAACCACTACACCTTTTAACTCAGTTCCAAGGGGCAAGATAACACCCGAAAACAAGGGGTAGGGTAAAAATAAGAAATGGGACTGGGCCAAAGAGTAAATTCAAAATTGTTTAAGCAGTGTAGTTTCTCTGTATGGCTTGTATGAACTGGGGAGAGAATCAGTGTTTACATGCTAAATCTCACTGTTTTATTTAAAAAAACAAGGCAATTGTGTTTTTCTGTGATACGGGCTTTTAAACTGTCAGGGCAGGAAGGTTAACTCTCCTGTCTAAAATTTACCCTTTTTTTTTTCTCAGTTAAAGGTGTGTCCTGGCCTCGGGTTTGTGTGTTTGAATTGTAGTCAAGCTCTTCACTCTGTAGCCTCTGGGTTTATTCCACTAAAGTGTCTTCCATTAGCTGCTGCTATTGGGATGCGCTGATTAGCATAACCAGCTCATTGTCCTCCACAGCGATGGCTACAAACACGCCATTTGGATGGAAATGGGTGAAACAGAGCTAATTAGTTTAGCATTGCTGGTGTTAGGAAGGGTTATTGCTGAGAGAGAAATGGTCCGTTCTACTGGACTGGAAAAGAGTTAATACAGAGATTAAGAATGAAAAAAACAGCTTAGTCAGCATAAATAAATAAATTAATAATAAATAAAGCAAAGAGCAAAACGGAGACTGGAGCCACTGTCTCTGGAGAGAGTCTGTTTACTTGTTTTTTTGGGTATACAGTCATGTGTAAAAGTTTGAACAGCCTTGGTCAAATTAGGTTTATATATCATGGAGTTAACTTGATACATTATTTTTTCTGCAGTTATTATTAATCCATGGCTGGGAGTTCAAGAGAGCACAATTGGCCTCATTCTCTCTGGGTGGGTAGGATGGCCCCTGTCTCCTCCCCCCATCGCCCAATGCAATGCTAGTCAGAGCAGGCGTCTGTTAGCTGCCGTAACAGATCTGGCGTTTGGCTCTTTCCTCCGAGCGCATTCACCTGTCCAATGATGTTGCATGAGCAGCAGTTCAAAAAGATGTAGTGGAGCCTCACAGAACTCTGAGGAAGCCTGCGCTAGCCTTCACCCTCCTAGTGCTGGTGGTATCATGTGATTGTGGGAGTTCCAACTAGTGGGTGAATTGGATACGACTAAATTGGTGAGAAAAATTGGGGGGGAAAAAATTATAGCTAAATGTTAACTAAATAGAAGCAGCTACATAAGAAGCAAAATAAGCTTTACCAGTTTGTATTACTTACAGTAATTTAGTAACATAACCGGCTTTCAGTGAGAGCAACAGTGTCTGCATGTTCCAACCAATGAATATGTATATCATACATACATACAGTCAATGATATGTCATATATGCTGTCAGTGTTTGAACTGCTCTGTGATTGTAGCCTCTCGCTCTTGTTCATACATCTCGTGGATTCTTGCTACAGTGGAGGCTCTTGAGGGGAACTGGAGCTTCACCAAGCTGCTGCTTTTGTCAGTTTGCTGCTCATTGACTGATCCATAGTTCTTCCAATGTAGTCTGCTGAAAGTATCTCTTTAAAAGCTGTTTGAATGAGAGCGATACGATCACTGGTTTTACCACAGTAACATACAGCACACTGCAGCTGGGCTTCAGCCTGCACCACCACGGAGAGCTCAAATTGGGAAACGGCATTAACAAAATTAGTGCTGATGATAATTTATCGTGTAAAATGTAATGTTACAACTTTAAAAATGAAACCTAAAATGTGGCTTATGTGAAAGTTATGGCATATTTTATATTCTATGATTTTGCAATGTTTTAAACTTACCAAATAAAAAAAGATGCCATATTTAATTGTGTTCTCTGTCGAGGTTGTGTTAACTTACTTTCACTTAGAAAATCAACAGAACGTCTGATTTGACGTGGGGTGTTTAAACTTTTACATACGTCTGTATACTGCTCACGTGCACTCCTTGGCTGTTTTCTGATTTCTCCTTTAAATAAGACTGAGTAGATTATTTTTCCTACATGCTGTCATTATTAAAATAGTTTAAATGGATTGTCGTAATCAAACCGAGCGAAAGTGCTGCTAATGAGCGGAGCTGTGTAAGCGCTGAAGCCATTATTCAGTCCATTAGTGCTCGTTTGTTCTGAAATCTACAGCCTGTGTGTACTGGAGCATTTGAACATATGATAACATGCTGCGTGTGGTAACGTGTGTACGTTTGCATTGAATTAAATGTGCAGTGATGTGATGCATGAAATGAGGGAGTTTAACTGTGATTGTAATGAGGCCTTTTACTCACACAGACGCTGGTCTCTGACTTCTGACTGAAAGGAAAACAAGTCAAGGTCTAGAGTTATTGGGCCTCATTCACCAACCATTCTTTCGCAGTCTTTACAAAAATTCTCATATTCACCAACGTTTTCTTATTTGGGGTTTGTTCTTGGATAAGAACAGAATCTACACACACTCAAGAGCACAAAGGTGTGAACAGTTTTACGCTTTAAGAACGTGTCCTGAACGTGGCACACTTTCTCAAGGACACATTTAACTTGTTTCTGTGAGCTATGAGTGAGAATTACTATGTAATTCTATAATGTATAGATAATTCATGCTAAATTGCAGAGAGCTTTTGTTATAGCTGATCATAACAGTTACTTCCAAGGGTGAACCTTATTGGATTCAGTCTGTCTGTTTAGCCCAGGGGTTTTGAGTGACTCGATGCAGTAAAACAGTTGTTCTGAGGTGGTCAGTGGTTGTCAGAGATATGCATATGTAGAGTATTTGGCCAAAACTGATCATTTTATAAGCTTTCTGTATTCTGGTCTGTGAATGAGAAATGATTCATATAAAATAACACTATGCTTTTATCTTGGAAGAATTATTGTGTGTTCAAAATACAATACGATAAGGAACTTTGTATGATGGTGTGTGTGTGTGTGTGTGTGTGTGTGTGTGTGTGTGCGCGCTGGTAAACGGGTTTCTGTCGCTGTGATCTGATTGGAGAGAGCAGTGAAATGGCATTTCTGTCAATTACTCTAGATGGCACCTGTTCAATAACCTACTTTTAACTCTCTCTCTCTCTCCTCTCTCTGTTGCAGGAGCGTGATGAGGAGCGGCGGAGGCAGCTGAGGGAGCGAGCGAGGCAGCTGATAGCGGAGGCTCGTTCTGGAGTGAAGATGGCAGAGTTTCCTCTGGCCTCAGACACGGCCACCGCTGCAGCGGAGTTCAAAGGAAGGTCAAAGGCAGCTGGAGGTGGGGGCAGGGGGCTTTATACACACTCACTCACTCGGACACATACACACACAGTTTCTCTTTACTACAGCCATAGCGATCAACAGAAACTGTTAAACACACCTTACATGCTCTTCAAACTTACACACACACTCTCACATGCTCAGAAAACACGTGTTCACATTTATTTGGATTTTATTTTTAGCATTTCCTCCCCTATTTAGTCATTGCCCGTTCCATGTGTGAGCTAGTTCTCCTCCTATCACATGATGGTACCAAGCTTGGTAGGTGAAGACCAGAACAAGCTCTTTAGTACAACCCATTCTGCTGTCACTAGCTGTGTTTACATGCAAAGATTTTTGCCAATCTGATGGAAAATCTTCATTTACATGCTCACTACAAGTAATCTGAATTATGTGCATACATACAAAACCACTTAATGTAGACGTTACCATGACAACCAGCATCACGTCCGGTCAGAGTGAGATGACCAGCAGTGAGCAGTGCTTGTGTTTTTAATCACTTTAAAATATGTCAGACTCAGGAAGACATACATCACATGTACTTCGTGTTCTGAGACACATAAGCTGGACGCCCGTCCCACCGCCGTCTTTTAAAGCTCAAAGCATAAACTCTCCTCTGCAGACCAGTTTCTGCTCCCGCCATGTTGAACGTTATAAACTTTCACTCTGATGCGATGCAGAACGTACTTAAACTTTCCGATTGGCAATGTAATCAGATACAGGAGTTTACACAGCTATTATTCTTCTATTTAACAGATTATTTACAGGATTACCCACCTTGTTCAGTCAGATAGAAATTGTATTCCAAATGGCCTCAATCGGACTAGCCTATTCCGATTGAGGTGTATACATGGACGTGTTCTGTTCCGATTGAGTTATCATTTGGATTATTAACGGATTCTCGGGCTGCATGTAAATTTTATTTTATTTCTAACAGATTTTATACACCTGTTAGAAGTGGGTGTGGCTGAAACACTAGAACTCAGTAATTAGGGTGTCCACATATTTGTGTGTTTTAAAGTTCTGTTCCTGTGATCCCCCAGTTATTGTTGTTCAGTTTCAATTTCAATCCCCTTCACCACCCCTGCTTCATGCCTCTCTGTCCTGGAGATGAACACAGCTGCTAATTCTGTTACAGCAGTTAACAGACGCTTGTGTTGGCCGTCATCACGCTGAGTGACGAGGGTGGGTAGGACGTGCTTTCTTGTAAGACTCCTGGCAACGAATAGCTGTGGATCAGACTTGTGATCTGATAATAGAGCCAGCGCTAGACTGTAGTGCCAATCTGGAGCCTAAAAGACCAAAACACACAAACAGAAGCTGTTAGACGCGCTAAGTAACACACACTAACAAACTCATTATCACATTAGGAAAACATGCAAACACACATGCACACTTAATTACTTTATATATGTTTTTCAGTTTTTGACATAAGTTGAAAATGCCTGTGGCGTTTTACCTTGTATGTAAATTTCATGATGAATGAACCAAATGAAATGGCTCAAAATTACTTGGAGAAAAGTCTGGTTCCATTGATTTACATTAAAAGTGAAGTATGTTTTTTCCTTCTCCTGTAAAGTTACCATTTTGGAGATACAAGGTTTTGTTCCAACAGCAGTGAGATATATATATATATGTGTGTGTGTTTGTGTGTTTGTAATGCTAAATGGAAAAGGGAGCGTCATCTTCCTCACCCTCCATTATTATACCTCTGCTGTGGCCCAGAAGTGCACTGCATTAAGAAACACACACACACACACACACACTCAGAGTGAGTGTGTGTGAAGTCTAATTTGAAAGCGTTCACAGAGGGCTACACATCCATTTGTTCAGGCAGAAGGTTCTCAGTTAATCCTCCAGAAATACGTCAGAAAAACTAAGCATCTGACGACACACACCACACACACACCACACACACACAGGGTATTATGACCCAAAGCTCACACATATACAGTCTTATGCAAAAGTTTGGGCACCCCTGGTCAGATGACAAGCTTTTGTTGGTTAAAGTGAAACACGTCCTCTACAGAGAACACACTTCTGCACGTTCAGTACACAGTTACTGTTTATTTGTTGAATTTAACATATTGGGCAAAGTAGACTGTTCAAAAGCACATTTTATGTTTTGTTTTATTTTTTTTCCCCAATGCAGCTCTTAGGTGTTACCTGCATCATTTCTATAGACTTCATGAGACATGCACTGTCATTTGCAAAACTTTGAACACCCTGAGAGAAATTATGTTGTGTTGAAAGTAAGTTAACACATCCTATACATAACATAAACTCAAACTAGCATTTTTCTGCACATTATAATGCACAGCTTCTCGTTTAACTTATCCAAAATGGTAACTTTACAAAAGGAAAAAAACCTACTTTACTTTTAATGTAAGTCAGTGGAACCAGACTTTTTTCCAAATCATTTTGTGTCATTTCCTTTGGTTATCATAATTATTATAATAATCAATTATTATCATAATTTACATACAATGTAAAGGACAAAGGGTATTTTCATATTCTGAAAAAAAATGAAAAATGACAAAAATTGAGAAGCGAGATTCAGTGATATAGTGAAAAATTAAATCTAAAATGTGACATAACTTCTGCTCAGGCCACATTTTCTTTCATTCAATTTTCATTCGTCTTAAAGGGTTAAGTATGTTACATGTTGACCAAAGCTGATGTTTTTCCTGATCGATGTCCACTAACTGTTGCAGCCCTGGTGGTTGCCTAGTTTAAATGATTTAAGTGTAGTGTTATCCAGTCCTGCTGCTACGCCCGATTTAGCGTGTGGACAGAGTGGCCGGCCACAGCGTTTGGTTTAATGTGTTGGGAATTGGAGGGGCGGTGGCCAGACGCTGGGTCCGATTCTCCATCCGCAGTCTGAGAGTGTATGTTCAGCATTTCACAGCTGAAGGGGTGTCTGCTCTAATTTCAGCGCTCTCTCTCTCTCTCTCTCTCTCTCTTTCTCTCTCTCTCTCTGGTTAATAGCACCCCCCTCCTTCCCTCTCTGTCCCTCCATTCTGCTCGTTTACTCAGGCCTGAAACGGCACAGTGTCCCTCACTCAGTCCGAGACCAGCTAGAGTGCGTTCCAGGCGCCACATCAGGTTTGGATGGAGGAGAGGAGAGAGGGATGATGGGAAGAGAGGGGTGGGGGGAGAGAAACACATGTGGTTGGGTTTATTTGGTCTTTCTGGCTGTTGAATTCTGCTAATTGTAGAACTCATTAAAAATCGAGTTGCTGGGAGAATGCTATAGGCTTGATGCACAAGGCCTGCAGTGCAGAACGCATAATCCTACCAATACACACACACACACACACACACACACACACACACACACACAGAGAGAGAGAGTGAGTGAGTGAGCTCTAATTCTGAGCGAGCCGAAGTTGAGTAGAGCGAAACGCTTGCCCGCAAAACTTTAGCAACTCCACCAGCGTGCAGCTTTTTTAATTAGCTTTACCTACTTTAGCTCTGTCCCGCTGCGCGTGTGTGTGTGTGACACTGTATCATGGAAAGTAAATTAAAAACGGGATGAAGCAGTGGCAGTTTCTCTGCTTGCTGTGTTTTCCTTCCCTCTCTCTCTGTCTGTCTGTCTGTCTGTCTGTCTGTCTGTGATGCTGAATTAGGAACTGTGTGCGCATCAGAGCTGGGCGATATGGCAAAACTATAATATCAAGGTGCTTGTAGAATTGTTTACGATACATGATGGGTCACAATATTTATTGTTTCTGATAAGTTGGAACAGACAAAGTAGTGCAATGTTAAAAAAAAAAACATTTTTGGAAAGGAAAATTTGAACAAGAATCTGGTGAATGAGAAGCTGACTTCTGCCTTGTAAAAACTCTAACGTTAAAAGACATTTTACAAGACACTATTACAAGAAAAGTTTCCTGCTGGAGATGTGAGAAAAGTGGCTATAGCTGAGCTAAAGCTTAAAGTAGAACAAAGTACATCTAGATTAGTTATATATTTGGCCTACAATAGTACATCAGCGCATACTGAGACATATTAACAGCCAAGATGGTAAAACATTACTTCAAATGGACATGAAATGTTGTGGCTCCCAAGGTGGTTTGATTTTTGTTAAAAGGACCAAATGGCTCCTCTTTTATGTTGCTGAACCCTGGGCTTGGAATTTGGGCAAAATTTTGTTCAGATCTTACAGCACTCAACATGCTTGTTTCTGGATTTTTTTTTAACACTTGTATTTTTTTTAACTGGGTTTTTTTGGTGGTGCGGAGTGAAGTCACTGTGTTTGTTTATCCTTTATTGCTTACTGTTTCTCACAGGTCTTGCTTTTAAAGGCTTTACTAACAATTTTTAAGAGAACACTTAAATGCTAAATGCTAACATGACCATTAATCACCTATTTGCATAACGCTGAGGGAATCGCTGCATCATTTACATAATTACTAATTGCTAGCGCTTTTTAAAATTAATGATTCACTGCATTAGCGTTCTTAGCCTTATTTAACCTGCTGTAAATTGCTCTGCTCCAAAAACTAACTCACTAACTCTCCGTCTACTAACCCCCTTTCTCTCTTTCCTCTGCTCCTCTGTTCTCTGGGCTCCCCGACTTGTGTCTTTTCAGACGTGGTAGACGTGGTGGATGGGGTCTGTGTTGATGGTGAGGAGGATGAGGAGGAGGGGAGGGCAGATGATGAAGAGCAGGTGGCAGCATCTCCTGATGATGATGATGATGATGTCACTGGTGGTCAGAATGAGGAGGAGCCCATGGCCTCCTGTCTGATGGAGGAGGACTTTACTAACTCTGCCACTGACCTGGCATCTCTGGGTAAATTAACACTGCATGCATGCATGTGTATATATGTGTGTGTGTGTGTGTGTGGTGTGTGTGTGTGTGTGTGTGTGTGTGTGTGTTCTTGTATTGCTATACTTGTGAGGACCCCATGTCCCCGCTATGTTAGGACTATATGAAATTTTTGCTCAAGTGAGGACGTTTTGTCCTCACTTGAGCATGTGTTGTTCTCATCACATTTATTTATTTATTTTTTTTAAACAAAAAGACCAGAAAAATTGCCTTTTGGATACTGAAGTTAAGGTGAGGGTTAGGTTTAGGTTTAGGTGTAGTATTATTTAGCAACAGTAACACAAAAATCAGTAGAAACCTATGGACGTCCTCATATGTATAGCAAGACAAACGTGGGTGTGTGTCTGTTTTTGTACATTTTCAGCACAAAAAAGATCTGATTTTTAAAAAAAAACATTAAGGGTTAGATTCTTACAGTACACACATGTACATACATATGAGCCATGTTGTTACACTTGAATACTTAGATGTGTATAATACTTTTGATTCAGCGTCCTGACATTGTACAAAAACCTGTGTTTAACCACTAACCAAACTCACAGTGATTTGCTTGAAGGGGCCGACGTTCCTGTCTGTCTGTCTGTCTGTCTATCTGTCTGTCTGTGTAATGTATAGTTTAGACACAGTAAAATCTCTCTTTTTCTCTCTCACATTGTGTCTTTGTCTAGAATGTTAGGTTTGTGTTGCTGTCAGTTATGTGTGTGATTTCTGTGACGTTGTAGATTTTTTTTTTCTTTTAATTTCAAAAAGTCCTTTAGAATTTTCCAGAGATGAGAGAGTTTGTGAAGAGTAATTTTCTGATAATTGGCACTTGGTTCGGTTGAGCAGGGTGTAATCTGAGTTGTGTTTGAGTACAGTTGTGTTTGATACAGTATATTTAGGTTAAGGTCTTTATTTACCTTCTGCTCTTGCTGATGTCTCCATGAGCAGAAGGCTTCGCTCCTATTCAGACCCTATTTACACACTTTCATTTCACAGATGGTTTTAAAGCTGTTTCTGGGCAGCCACTAACTTTTGGGCGACACATACACACGCAGGCCTTTATCTGGGGTGTGTTGTGGCCTGATAAATGGCTCCTGTGGTGCTTTTGGGGTGCAGACGGACTGAGCGATGGACGGATGGAGGGATGCAGCAGGAAGAGAGGAGAGGGGGATGCACATGAAACGCCCCCTTCTCTCTTTCATCCCCCCACACTCAGTCTGTTGCACGAAAGGGGTGGGGGGCAAAGCAACCCTGATGCCAACACAGAGAAAAAAGAGGTGATAGAGTGAGGGATGACAGAAAGAGAAACGAAAGAAAGGGAGATGGGAAAAGAGAGGGGGAATTGATGGTTAGAACAAAAATAGAACAAATGAAGGACGTTTTGGTACCACTGAAATATGAAATAGATGAACATGTTTGCTAGACTGAAAAAGGGAGAGATTGTATGTACAGTCATTTGCAACTTCAATTCTGTTTAAATGCAATACATAACAATAACTACAATGTAGATTTTTATCATTATTTCATTTTTCAATGTTCTGAGTGTTTGAGGAACAATAACAAGATACTAAATTACGGTAGATTTGCAATAACTTATTGTCACGTTGTCTGCCCTGAGAATTGACAATCCCTAGAAACAGATATATGGGCAAATCCAACGAGAGGTGAAAAACCAGGAGTTAGTTAACGATTAAAAGCTACAGAGAAAATATGCCTCCTAACAACCACCTGGAAGACCTGGTAGACACCAAAACTGTCCCCATCAGATAAACAACACTTAAAGCTTAAAGAAAATCAAGCTGCTTCAGATCTGAAAACATCCACAGGGGTTTCTGTCCATCCTTCCACTGTGAGAAGACGACTCAGCGCTGTGGGTCTGAAAGGATGTGTAGCTGTCAGGAAGAACCTCACTGAGAAAAGGAGACACATCAAACAAAGAAGCTGAACAATGGACTGACCACCCCAGAGTCCAGACCTCAACATCACTGAATGTGTTTGATTACTTCAGAAAATGATCAACCAACTTCTAAGACTGAACTTTGGAGGTGTGTCTGCAGATTTCTTTGAGAAACTGAAAGTGAGTCTCCTGAAAAGAATGGAGGCTGTAACAAAGGTGAAGGGAGACACACAAAATAAAAAAAAACTATTTAGTTATTGTGTAATTTTTCCTCACCCTGAAAAATGAATAACTTGACTGGAAAATAAACTGAAATAAAAGCAGGATGGTCTCTCACTGTTGGACAGTACAATAGATGCTAAGTGGAGCTGATAAAATGGACTATGGACCGTAATAAAAGGATCAGTGAGCGAATGTTTTTATTAGGCATTAAATATTATTAAAGTGAAACCATTTATGAGCGCAGTCAGGTGTGTTAGAGCAGTTTGTGTGTTTGTGCTGGGTGGAGATTCTACTGAGGATGCTGGCGGACACTCGAGTTCTGAGTACTAAAATCACTATTAAGGCGTCACATTCAATCACGGCAAGATGGAAAAAAAATAAGCTGTGCCCTTATTCAGGGCCTGCATCCTTCTTGTGTCCTTCGAAGGCTGCGTTGTCCCGCGAAGGCTGAACTGAAATGAGACACACTCTTCTCTATGGCAAATTTCCTGTTTGCATCACAGCACCACTGTTCCCGCCCTTACCATTGTATCCAGAAACGCTGCTGTTGTCAAGTTTTTTTAAAAGTTCTTTAAAGACAGAAACTTTCATTTTGGTTTTTTATTTTTTCATTTGTTAGAGCTGGAAATGTTTCTCTCTGTCTGCTCTTTGCTCCCTAAAACAAAACGAAATATCAGTGTATGTTTTGCTTCAGACCACACTGGCTTTTTTAACATTTGTATTGGTAGCTATTCGAGTCAGTACTTAAACCCAGTACTTTCATTTAAAGTGTCTTCTCAGCTGCCGTTCACGCCTCTGCTGATGTCGCCATGTTCTCGAATCCTCACCGGCACACGAAGAACCTCAGGATGTGTTGGCTGGCGAAGGATCCACCTGTTGGATCCTTTGTTGCCATGGAAAAGGACACATTTCTCAGCCACATATGAAAGAGCCTTCAAAATTTCACAGCCTAGTTGCGGCCTTCAAATGCAGCCTCTGAAGGATGCAGCCCCTGAATTGGGACACAGCTATAGACTGACTCAGGGGGTCAGTCTTTTTAACAGAACTATAAACAATGACAGTTCTGTGAGTTAGTATATTATTCTTTGCTGCTACAAAACACGAGCACATGAGTGTGTTGCCAAGGACACATCATTAGGGATAAGACATAACCGGGATAATTAGGGATAAGAGAAAACCGGTGCAGCTTTTTCAGTCTAGCTGATGTGAGCTCAGTTGTGAAACAGGGAAAATATTTTTACGACAAACTTACTTTAGTACACAGCCCTACAACAGTTATGACCACTTAAGTTCTTTTTTTTCCTGTTTTTGTTGTTGATTTTTCCTTCCCTGCCATTAACTGGACTCTTGTGTGTGCTCAAACATCAAAAATAGTCTGAATGCACATGCCTGTTATTTGTAGTGTTTGTTTGTGTGTGTGTGTGTGTGTGTGTGTGTGTGTGTGTGTGTGTGTGTGTGTGTGTGAGAGGGAGAGAGAGCCTCTTGGGAAGAATGTTAAGAAAAAACTCAGCATACTGAAATCTTGGCCCAGTATCACCCACTATGGCCCCCACTACAAAGCTTTTGGATTTTGTCGTGTGTGTGTGTGTGTGTATCAGTGAGGGGGGCTGATATCAGAACCTGAGACGAATGTTCCAGGTGCACCTGTAGAGTCTATCTCACACACCAGGTGTGTCCACTCTTTCCCCTCTATCGTCCAGCCAAACTGTGTGTGTGCGCGCGCCAGGTCGGTCTGACCAAAGTCGTGTTGTTTAGATGATTATTTTAGCGTTTGAGATTCGTCCTCTCTGATTTTTTGTCACTGTTGATCCTGAACTGATCCTGTATCTGTTTGTGTGTGTGGTATGTGCGTATATGTATATCTCTGTTGTGCGTGAGGTTTATAAGGGGCAAATGCTGCCCAGCGATGTGCTTATCTCTCCCTCTCTCTGGTGGAGAGCAGAGTGGCAACGCTGTACAATGATTCTCCTTCTTCTCTTTTCTCCACATGGAGTGGATGCTGACAATAGAAATGGTCTAAAAGTAGATTAACTTCCATTAAAAGTTAATGTTATCCTGCAAAGTTATCATTTTAGAGATATGAGGTTTTGTTCTGACAGTGACAGTAGTAATAATAATAATAATAATAATAATGATTTATAATGGTGTGTTTATATAGCACATTTCACAAATTAAAAATGCAGCTCAAAGTGCTTCACAATGCAAAGAAAAACAACAGAGGAAGAAGAGCAGAAAGATAATCAAAAATTAAAACAAAAAATAGCAGAAAAGGGATATATTAATAATTACAATTGAAAGTATAAGATGGAAGTATAAATATAAAAAACAAAATACTATAAAATGCAGCTAACAAGAAAATAAAAGTAATAGTAATATTCCAAAAACAAAGGAAAAAAAACTAGTTAAACATTAAGTAATACGTTTTTAACTGTTTTTAAAAACATTGACAGAAGGAGCCTGACGGGTGTTTACTGGTAACGTGTTCCAGATCTTTGGTTCACACGTGAAATATGGAGAAGCAGCAAAAGATGATCTCAAAGCTGGATTTGGAACATCGTCTATCAGCGCTCAGAAATGTATGAAGGTGCTAAACCATTAGCAGATTTAAAACACTAGTAGTAAAATTTTAAAGTCGATTCTAAAGCAAACAGGCATCCTGTTTTTTCAGTCTGTGTTAATATTCTTGCTGCTGCATTTTGCACTAGTTGTAGTTTGTTGGTTGTGCTTGCGGGAAGTCCTGTGACCAAAGCATTACAGCAGTCATGTTGAGAAAACACAAAGCTTGCGAAGAAGCGTGAGCAACTAAACATAATATAAAATTTTTCATTATTTAGTGCGTCCACTCTTAACCTTTATTCCAGCTTCCATTCTTTTCAGGAGGCTCGCTTTCAGTTTCTCAAAGAAATCTGCAGACACACCTCCAAAGTTCAGTCTTAGTTCTGCTTCTCACGATCCGAGTGACCTCAATAACTTTGCCCAAAAATGCATCAGCAAATAATCCAGCAGTTCAGCAACAACATTCCACAATGAGTGATTGCAAGGATTGTAGGCGTTTCACCCTCTGCAGCACATAATATTAGCAAAAAATTCATCTGTAAATTTCTGTGTGTGAAGGGAAAGGCTTTAAACCGCTACTGAATGCCCCTGACCTTCAACCCTTCAGATGGGAAGATCTGATGGGAAGACTTCTAATATGGGGCATTACTGTGAACAGTTTAGTCCATTTACCTTTTCTTTCTCTGCAGGAGTAATGAACAGTAGGCATGTGGACCTGAAGCTGAAGAAGCTGACGGACGCTCGGCCACAGGGCGGAAGCTCGCCTTCATCCTCTTCCTCTTCCTCCTCCCTCACAGCCTCCACCACCTCTCCGCTCAGCCCAGGGGAGGGGCCTGAGCTGGGCATTCAGGTACACACACCTGCACCTGTGTTTGCATGTTGTTCTTAGGCTAATCATTTTTGTGCATTCCACTTTAATTTTTAGCCACACAGTGATTCTTACAGAACCACAAGCTAACATCCTAATGAAAAGTGTGAGGTCGCGTCTCCTTCATTAAAGGACCCAGTAGCTGATCTTTCGCTTGCTGAGGTCGGCGCAGCAGCATTTAGCTATAGTCATATATAATTCAATGGAAAACCTTCATACAGGTACAAATATGACTGTGTCCAAGCGAGCATGCACAAGCTTCTCCACTACGCTGCTGTACGCAGAGCCCCCAGGTGGTGACTGTAGGGTTTTCAGGGACCTTTCTGCACCTGTACACGCACATGCGCTCTCTCTCTCTCTCTCTCTCTCTCTCTCTCTCTCCCTCTCCCTCCCTCTCTCTCTCTCTCTCTCTCTCTCTCTCTCCCTCTCCCTCTCCTTGCTGATGGAAGGGATTTCCTGTGAGCAGATGCAGTCTGGCTCTTTGATGTAGGAGCACAATGGCAGTGGTGCCTGTAGGAGCTCCCTCTGACTCCAATGGCCTGGTGCTGAAACTCAGGCCTGCACACTCATTTCAGACAGACTCCCTATCCATGCTGCTTTACACTAGCCTGCTCCGCTTTCCGCCGATCCGCTTCTCTTTGCGCTCATTTCAGCCTGCTTAACATCAGTCCGCTCCGCTCTACCGTAGTCCAATCCACTTTATGCTACTTTGACCTGCTTTACTCAATTCTCTTGTATGTGCACTAGCTTCACTTTACCCGAGTTTAGCCTGCTTAACGACAACCTGCTTTACACTGTTTTATGTTAGTTTGACCTGCTTAACACCAGCTTGGCCTGTTTAGTCTTATTTGGCCTGCTTTACACCAGTTTGGCCTGTGTATACTAGTTTGGCCTGCTTCAAACCAGTTTGGCCTGTTTATGATAGTTGGGCCTGCTTTATACTGGTTTGGCTTGCTGAATTGCTTTTTTGTTAGTCTACACTGCTTTGTGCTAGTTTGACCTGCTTTACACAAATTTGGCCTGCTTTATACCAGTCCACAACGCTTTATGACAGTTCTGTTAGCTGTACACCAGCTCAGCCTGCTTTATACCTTTCTACTCTGCATTGGTGTTTGGTTATTTACACTGTATGCTGAATTGGCCTCCTTTACACTTGTTTGGCCTGCTTTCAGATAGTTTGACCTGCTTTATAATAGATTGGCAAGGTTTGCACCAGTTTGGCCTGCTTTACACCAGTTTGGCCTGTTCATGCTATTGTGGCCTACTTTATGGCAGTCTGGTTTGTTTTTTCTTGGTTTAACCTGCTTTACACCAGTCCACTCTACTCTGTTACTTTGGCCTGCTTTACACCAGTTAGACCTGCTTTACACAAATTTGGCCTGCTTTATAATAGTCCACTTCGTTGTATGATAGGTTTTCCAGCTGTACCCCAGTTTAGCCTGCTTTATACCTTTCTGCTCTGCGTTAGTGTTTGGTTGTTTACACGGCATGTTGGTTTGGCTTGCTTTAGGTTTATTTGCCCTGCTTTCAGATAGTTTGACCTGCTTTCCAGTAGTTTGGCCAGCTTCGCACCAGTTTGGCCAGTGTAACCGCAATCTCGTCTGTTTTGTGTCAGTTAAGCCTGCTTTATACTAGTCCACTCTGCTTTACATTAGTTTAGCATGGTTTATGCCAGTTCACTTTGAGTTATGATAGTTCTGCCAGCTTTACACCAGATTGGCCTGCTTTAGTCTAGTCTGCTCTATATTGCACTCTTTTGTCCTACTTTACACCAGTTTATCCTGTTTTATGCCAGTTGTCTCTATGCCGATCTGCTTTGCTTTACGCTAGGTTGGCCTGCTTTACGGCAGACTACTTTGCTTCAGACCTATTTTGGCCTGCTCCATTTTATACCAGTCTACTCTGTTTTTGTGAACCATTCTGTTCTGCTGAGTTCATTCCAAACCAAAGTGTTTCTGAGTAATTGTGGTGATGGATGTTTTACTCTCTATATTACTCTCACTTTCTGCACCTGTTTTAGCCCGTTTTAAACCCCAGGTTGCGTGAGGGCGGAGTTGAATCTCAGTTTGTTTGGCATTTGGCCTCAGCGTGTCTCTCCTTTTTGTTTTTGCCATTTTATTTGTTTTGTTCACAATTTCTTTTGTCGGCTACCCTCCCGAGACTTCTTACGTCTTGCCGTTTTTGGAAACCATTAAAATTAAAATGCGTTAAGGGTCTCTCGCTCCCTCTCTCTCATCATAAACCAGTCCTGATGCATTTCCTCTTTTTTTCCACACAAAAGGAGGATAAACTGCTCCCATCCCAGGAGAAATCTCCCCTCTCTCTCACTCCTCCAGGAGCCAGAGCGGCCCAGGACAGGCTTTACACACACAGAGCATATTTCTCTCTCTCTCTCTCTCTCTCTCTCTCTCTCTCTCTCTCTCTCCAGTAGTCCCAGTTGTCTCTCATTAGTGATTGTGTGTATGCGTTGGGGGGGCATGGCCTTGGTGCCGCCTGATAACTGTCTGCAGCGTTCAGTCGAGCGCAACATTAGTCACGCATCACACACACACACTCACACACATGCATGGTTCTACCACAATAATACCCAGCGCAGTAATGATGATGGCGATAAGAGATAAAAGGCGGGTGGATCTCAGAGAGGGTATTTCCCCCGATATCTGCCCCAACCAGGGGTGGCAGGGGGGCAGTGGGGCAGGTGCTGAGCTGGGGGGTGCAGCAGAGGGGCTTATGGGCTGCGGGTCCTGAGGGATAGAGACGGATCCTAACAGGGCCTTTCACACTCCAAGCGGGTTTGTTTTCTTAAGACATTAACATGAAGAGAATTAGACCAGGTTAAAGGGCTCTATGGCAGCGTGTCTCTGGAGACTGAGACGGGGTTAACAGTTAAAACACACGCACTCACACTCTCTCTCTCCTTCTCTCTCCCTCTGTGTGTTAAGAATATCAGAGCTCAGTCCTCTACAGCCTTAAACAGGGCCTCTCAGTTTTCTATACATCTCATAACCAAAAACATTAGATTTAAAGGGCCACAATATCCCACAGTCTCCCTTGAGGTCCACCTATAACATTTTGTGTGGTTTTATGTTCCAAAAACAGAGATCATTCATTTTCACAAGATCATTTTCCAGCCGGTCTTTGTCTCTTAGAATCAAACAGCTGTTTCTGTCACTGAAAGACTGAAAGATTTTAAATGACCTCTGTACTGATTGGCTGCCCTTAGAGCTTCAGTATGAGTCTGAGGGTGTTCGTTCTTGTGACATCACAGAAACAGTGAATTCAAAACAGGCTGCTTTTGCTGCTTAAGTTCCATGATTGGACTGGAGAGTGAACATTGAGATGCTTCAGTCTTATTTATTTCAGAAAACTACATAAAGTGAAAGTTAACATCTTAATGCAAAACTGTATTAAAGCCACACATTTTTAACACAACGTAATTTTCTAGCTTAATCCTTCACATATCTTCAGCCTGAAGCCCTGCTGCACGCTGTTACTATGATTCTGTGATTTATGGTCCTCTCGTTTAGATGCAGCTGTAAAATGGCAAGTTTTATGTACTGATAAGTTATTTCCAGCTACTGCAGTGGTAACTTTGTTTATCACCGTGGTATGTTAAACACACCGCTGATGCTACCAGTATTGGTAATATCAATAATGGTAGCACTGGAGTAATGTTATCAATGTTAGAGCTACCGTACTCTTCAAAGACATAAGAGTGAGAGAGCTACAGTCAGACAGAAGTTGAAACATGCAGCCACTTTTTCTCTCATTAGACATTAGTGACAAAAACAGTTTACCTTATTTTAACGTTCACCATACATTCACATTATTTTTATGATCAGGTAAAAGTTGAATTGTCTAAGGTAATGATTATATTCTGGTGAAGCTTATTTTGTCCGCTTATGTAGCTGTAATAACACATACCGCTTTTTAAATAAAAAAAAATGTTATTTAGGGTCCAATTATAGTAAATAAGGCAGGTGTGACTTCACACTTCACAAACTAATGTGATTAATCATGATTAATTATTTTAATCATTTGTCAGCCCTAATTTAAAGCAGTACTGAGACAATCAAAAATCTAATTTTCACTGTTTTTCTGCTTATCTCATATGAAGTCAGTCAGGTACTGACTGAACGATAGTGGGAGAGAGCAGGACTCTGAACGATAGAGGGAGAGAGCAGACACTGTGAACGATAGAGGGAGAGAGCAGCACACTGACCGATAGAGGGAGAGAGCAGCACACTGACCGATAGAGGGAGAGAGTAGCACACTGAACGATAGAGGGAGAGAGCAGCACACTGAAAGATAGGAGAGAGCAGCACACTGAACGATATAAGGAGAGCGCAGCACACTGAAAGATTGGAGAGAGCAGCACACTGAAAGATAGAGAGCAGCACTCAAAGATAGGAGAGAGCAGCACACTGAAAGATAGGAGAGAGCAGCACACTGAACGATATAAGGAGAGAGCAGCACTCTGAAAGATAGGAGAGAGCAGCACACTGAAAGATAGGAGAGAGCAGCACTCTGAAAGATTGGAGAGAGCAGCACACTGAAAGATTGGAGAGAGCAGCACACTGAAAGATAGAGAGCAGCACTCAAAGATAGGAGAGAGCAGCACACTGAACGATATAAGGAGAGAGCAGCACACTCAAAGATAGGAGAGAGCAGCACACTGAACGATATAAGGAGAGAGCAGCACACTGAAAGATAGGAGAGAGCAGCACTCTGAAAGATAGGAGAGAGCAGCACACTGAAAGATTGGAGAGAGCAGCACACTGAAAGATAGGAGAGAGCAGCACTCTGAAAGATAGGAGAGAGCAGCACTCTGAAAGATAGGAGAGAGCAGCACACTGAAAGATAGGAGAGAGCAGCACTCTGAAAGATAGGAGAGAGCAGCACACTGAAAGATAGGAGAGAGCAGCACTCTGAAAGATAGGAGAGAGCAGCACACTGAAAGATAGGAGAGAGCAGCACACTGAAAGATAGGAGAGAGCAGCACTCTGAAAGATAGGAGAGAGCAGCACTCTGAAAGATAGGAGAGAGCAGCACTCTGAAAGATAGGAGAGACCAGCACACTGGACATTAGAGGGAGAGAGCAGCACACTGAACGATAGAGGGAGAGAGCAGCACACTGAACGATAGAGGGAGAGAGCAGCACTCTCTTTTTATCCATTCATCCAGAAGAGCATTTGTGAGGTCAGACACTGATGTTGGACGAGAGGGTCTGGCTCACAATCTCTGTTCTAGTTTATCCCAAAGGTGTTTGATGGGCTTGAGGTCAGGGCTCTGTGAGGGCCAGTCAAGTTCTTCCACACCAAACTCACTCAGCCAGGCCTTTATGGGCCTTGCTTTGTGCACTGGGGCTCAGTTATGCTGGAACAGAAAAGGGTCTTCCCCAAAATGTTCCCACAAAGTTGACCAAAATGTCTTGGTCTGCTGAAGCGTTAAGATTTCCTGTACAGTTGTCTGGGGCAGAACTTGCAGTACAGAATTTTCACAAACTGACTTGTGGCAGAGGTGGCATCCTATGACAGTGCCATGTTTAAAGTCACTGAGCTCTTCAGTACGACCCATTCTACTGGCAGTGCTTGTCTATCGAGACTGCAAGGCTATGCGCTTAATTTTATTCAACTGTTAGCAATGGGTGTGGCTGAAACACGTGAACTCAGTAAGTAGGAGGGGTGTCCCAGTACTTTTGTCCATATAGCGTATGTTAAGCAGTGGTTCCCAACCTGGTCCTCGGGGCCCTCCAGGAGGTCCACATTTTTGCTCCAGTCCTGGGTGCAGCTGACTTTTGAATGTCCAGAAAAAAGAAAAGCTAATCAAATGAACCAGAGTGAAGAATATAGGGAGATCCATGGTGTCCAACTCTCCTTAATAAGATTTACTTTCCAGCAGACATCTAGCATAGTATGCTTTACATCATCAACAGCTATCTAGAGCAGTGGTTCCCAGCTCCGTCCTTGGGCCCCCTAGAAGGTCCTCATTTTTGTGCCAATCCTGGGTGTTTCCGTCTTCTGAATATCTAGAAAAAAGAACATATAAAAAAATGAACCAGAGTAAATAGGGGAGAGCATTCTAGATCATTTGTCACCAACCCTTCTCACAGCGATCTGCTTAAATGTAGATTGTAGATCCAACCTACATCTAACATACTATCCTTTAGATCAGCAGCAACTGTTTAAAACTGTTGTTCCCAACCTGGTCCTCAGCCCCCCCAACCTGATTTTGCCCCAGTCCTGGGTGAGACTGTCTTTTGAATATACCAACTTGAGGACCCAACCTGGTCCTCAAGTTGGTAACCACTGCTTTAGTTGCCTCAGGGATCCCCCAGAAGGTCCACATTTTTGCTTCATTGCTGGGTGCTGTTGTCTTTTGAATGTCCAGAAAAAAGAGCAGATAAGCCAAATGAACCAGAGTGAATAGGGCAGAACATTCAAGATCATTGGTCAGCAACCCCTCTCAGGGTGATCTGCTTAACTGCAGATTGTAGCTCCAACCTGCTTTAGAGAGTTGCCCAAGTCACTTTTGGGCAACAACCTCAGATTTGTGCCTCTTCAGCCCTGTAATGTGAACATAGCCCGAAGTGTTTGAATCGATTGACTAAACGGTCGTAAAGCTCGTGTTGGCAGTGCTGGGATCTGAGGTTCTGGGGAAGCTAATTACCGCAGTGTTTTGAAAAGTCATTATTTAAGAATAAACAGACAAAAGCCTTTATGAGTGTGTGCGCGTGTGCAATTGTATGTGTGTGTTTGTCTTTATTAGCCAGTCTGGTTCTCGTACACACACCAGTGACCTAGCGTGGCGGCGCTAACAATGTTTCTCCCCTTTCGCTCTCAAGCAGTGGAACGTGTTCGCTAATTGCGAACTTTATTAGACGTTTCTCTTTTTTATTATTAACGTCGGCGAATGTTGTTCTGGAAGGCGCTGCTGTTTCGCTTTCCAGTCCGCTTACCATACTGGGGCCCCGACTCATAATAATAACGCGGTTCAGTATGGGGTTGATAGGGATACAGCGCCACTGCCTTTCTGACACGTGTTTGCCTCCAAAACAATAGCTGCTTTTAATTTGCATAATCTGAATATATTTTCTGGCTGCGGTTTCGTTGAAAGTCGACTTAATTGCCTTCTTCCTTTTTCTGCTGCGGAGTTTAATGCAGGCCGGTGGAGGAACGCAGCGAAAAACCCGTTCCTCAGCGCTTCATAATTAAACGTTTTTTGGCCATGTGTGTCTAATTTGTCCTTTGCTTTAATGTTAACCCGCTGTTTGTCGCCTCTCTCTTTCTTCTCTCGCTTTCCCTCCCTTCCGCTTTAATGGTTATTTAAATGAGTGTGTCCTCTGCTTTTTTAAGTTAAGTGATGTTTCTCTCTCTCTTTCTCTCACTTGCTCACTCGCCCTCCTTCACTCTTGCTCTCCTGCTCTTTCTTTTACTCAACTGCTTTACTTTCTCTCCTTCTGTCCTCTCGTACTCACACTCTGCTTTAAAGTGTAGAATACTATTAGAGAGGACCCTTCATTCTGTTTGCTTTTAAATATAAAAAGTATATTTTTATAACTGTTATAAATTTTTAGTCTTTTAATTTTATTTTTTTAAGTAAGTTGTTTTTTAGTTTTTTATTTATTTTATTTTTTCTTATCAGTGTTAAGCATTTCTTTCATTGATTTTGTTAGATTTTTAAATTTTATTTTTAATTTTTTATTTGCATTTATTTTCTTTATTTTATTATCATTATTTTTTATTATTATTGGCAGCAATTATTCTCAATTGTTTCTCTGATTTATTTTTTAAAAACAGACTTTTTTTGTTTTTATAATTTATGATTTTATTTATTATGTAATTTTTTATTTTCTCAAACATTACTGCCCCCCTTAAGCATTTCTCTCTCGTTCTGTAGAATAACGCGGATGAGCTGAAAGCGGAGCGTCTGAGGAGAGCGACGGAGCGTCTGAAGAATCCCGTGGTGTTCAGTAAGGAGTCTGCAGTGCGGAAGACGCAGCTCAAGTCCTTCAGCCAATACGTGGAGACCCGGCCAGGTGAGACCAGTGCATGCACTGACATCACTTCCTCTTTCACACACAAAGATCTATCCATCACATCCGTCTGTTCTTGTTGAACGTCTCATTCTAAAACCTTGGCCGTTTTTCTGGAGCTGGTCCTCCTTTTCTCCAGAAACAGCCTCTACTCTTCTGAGAAGGCTTTCACTAGAGGTTGGAACGTTGCTGCGGAGATTCGCTTTCGTTGAGCCACAAGAACGATGGTGAGGTTGTGCACCGATGTTGGGTGATGAGGTCTGGCTCGCTGTCAGCATTCCAGTTCATATGAGAGATATTGTATGGGGTTAAGGTTAGGGCTTCCACACCAAAACTCAAACAAACCATTTCTTTATGGAGCTCTCTTTCTGTATGGGGGCACTAACATGCTTAAACAGGAAAGGGTCTTCCTTAAACTGTTGCCCCAATGTCTTTTAGATTGTGACCTCATCCTGTAGCATTTTAAATTAGCCTTTACTGGGAATAAGAGGCCCAAACAATGATAAACAGCCCTAGACTCATTAATCCTCCTCCACCCAACTTCCAACTGGCACAACAGGCAGGTAGCGTTCTCCTGCATCCACCACACCCAGATTTATCTGGTAGTTTGGAGATCAGTAATAGCTGTTGTAACCAAGGACAGACATATTTTACCCACTTCAACACACTGAGGTCCTGTTCTTTGAGCTTGGTGACCTCCTCCTTCATGACTGAACTGTTGTTGTTCCAAGACATTTACAATAACAGCATTTATAGTTGACCAGGGCAGCTCTAGCAGAGCAGAAATTTGAGAATGTGACTTGTTGGAAAGTTGTCAACCTCACAGTGGCACAATAAGCTCTTCACTCTACTGTCAGAGTCTGAGATGTCGGGAGATCGCATCGCTGTGTGTTTGATTTTATACTCCCGTTAGCAGTGAGTGTGGCTGAAATAACTGTACCCACTAATCAGAAGAAGTTAATTAGAAGTTTGCGTACTTTTGGCTATGTAGTAAATGCGACGTGAGCGCTTACAGGAAGTGTGGGACAAAGCAAGTTTAAAAACAGAACAGACTCAAGCAGCTGCTTTGTAGGCTTGGACCCTTAAGTCATGTTGAGGTTCTGAAGAGCTGCTGGTAGAAACTCTTTCTTTTAGAAAATTATGCAGTGTCTACTATACATTATTCAGTATCTACTATAAATTATACAGTATCTACTATTAATTATTCACTAACTACTATAAATTATACAGTAACTACTATTAATTATATAGAATCTACTATAAATTATTCAATGTCTACTATTAATTATACGGTAACTGCACTCTGTAGATATGAGAGTGAGGAATTGAAGTGTGGACCCCATACAGTTTCTTGTGGGTATTAACCATATTTTTAGGGTTGTGTAATGATAACAGAAACATATTGATATCAGCAGTTAATTGTTTAAAAAAATTATCATTATTGGACAGATGTTTCGATTTGATCAATAATTCAAAACAATATTTAATGATGTGTTATACTGTGGAACTGCAGAATGTTTACTACTGCCGTAAAGTATCTGCATTTCATTCGTTTATTGCACTTTTTAGGAAATTTAAATAAGTGTTACATTACTCCATCACACTTATCTGGGTTGATCTAATCCCAGTTTCTACATTTTATGAAAGTTTTTTGTGTCAGCGTTAGCAAATAGGTAAAACAGCATCAACCCAAAATTCCCGTATCGGTGCATGCCTAATGAACAGGTTGTGTTATTCGAGGATACAGATACTTTAACCCTTATTGTTGTAGATTCCTTCACAAGGACACCAAAAGTGACAGTAAATGACCTAAAATATGAAAGCTAATAGGAGGCCCATTGTGTTTTACATCACTGTATTATTGCAGGCTTATCAACTTTTTCTTTCTATCTGTCCATCATCTTCTCCTCTTCCAGAGGTGAGGAGGCAGAGGTCAGTGCCTGAGGAGCTGAAGCGAGTGAGTGAGGATAGAGGAGGCTTTTTGGACACTGAGGGACGAAGGCCAACTGAAGAAGAGGTACTTCCTGTTCAGTTTTTTGATTTTAAATAGACACGATGCTAATATTACGATTATATTACTACATAATGTGATTACACTTTAAAACGTATTGCTAAGTCAGTATTGTGATATGCTTAAAGATTGGCCTGCATTATTTTGAGCAGAGTATTTTGTTTAACTACATTGATTCATCAGAACAACCACAGAATCCCTCATCCTGAAGCTGTGATTGGTCAGGATGCTCACAGCACACAGTAAGCGGCACTGTGATTGGTTATAGACTCATTTATATATAGCGCATACACATATGATAAAACAATTAATTAACAATATATTGTTCAGCCCTAATTTTAATTCTATGACCACATTTCCTTCATACATGTGTGCCCACACTCATGCACACACACAATTTTTGTGCTGATTTTTTTTACTTTAATTCCTGATGTCAATCAGTTTTACCTTTAAGCTAGAGAGACTCTTTGGTTCTGACAAATTAGACTGATAATTGTCAGATTACGAAAATAGAGAGGGGAAAAAGTCTTTGGTTCTTTCTTTTCTCTCTCTCTCTCTCACTCTCTCTCTCTCACACTCTCTCTCCCCCCATAGAAAAGGGAAATTATTACATTAACAGTTAAATACAGACTCTGTATGTAAAACAGGCTTGAAACTTTTGTTCTGAATTGGAATACGGCTCGATAATGTGACCTGAATCACAGTCCAGACCTAAGCATGAACACAGCCCACATCCTGTCTGAACGCTGACCCAGGCTAGACAAAATTCTGTTTGAAACCAACCTGAACTGGCCTGAATCGGCCCGAAAAGACCCATCATCACCCAGTCTCAACCTCAGATGCTCTGCCCACACAGAAACAAAGGGTCTGAAATCCTTTGCGCACAACTACTGGTATTTTCTCAGTTGCGTTCTGGCTCTCCACACGTCCTGCGCAGTGTTCACGTTCAAAGCAAAAGCGAAGCATTTTGTTTTTCCAGCTAAATTGTAGTCTGCAGTAGTTAACAGCTGCCTGTAGTGAACATTGTGGTGAAAAATTAGCCTTCCAGAGCACGAAGTATTTGTGGAATTTTCACAATTCCCACACTGAAGCAGCAGGATCTGGTTATTTTTCAGGTCATCCAAGCAGCCTCTTACTGACGAGGTAGATGGTTCTTGGCCACGTTGTGATATTGCTAATGATAACGCTGGTTAAACCTCTCCATTAGATCAGTATGAAAAAATAATATAAAATATGATAAAATAATGCTTCAGAAAGTTCTGCATTAACAAATTTATTCATCAAGCAATCAAACAGTATCCAAAACATTTTTTCGTTCTGTTCTCACGCTGCACGGTGCTGATATACAGGATAATAGCCTAGTTTTCTTATTTGGGATTTGTCCTTAGGTAAGAACTGAATCTGCACACACTCAAGAGCACAAAGGTGAGAACAATTCTGTGATTTAAGAACACGTCACGAATCTGACATAGACTTTTTCTTATGATCTTTCTCAGGAACCCATTTAAGAGGAAACTTAGGAAGATATTGGTGAATGAGGCCTAATGTTGGCTGCACTAAATTATCCTCTCCTGAAAATGATTCACTGTTTATTTCTCGCAAATCTGTTCTCTCACAAGCGTGGTCATTGTAAAGGATTCTGCTCCGGTGGGATACCTCAGTGCGGTAAAAGTGGCCCATTCCCAGTTGGTTTTCCCACCAAATCCAATTTTTTTGTTTGGCTGTTCACATCTTTTAAATGTGATCTGTATGCAACATTAGTCTAAACAGATCAGCTCCTTAACTGACTCGCCATCGCAGAAAAACAAAATGCTTCACTTTGATTCACACGACTCATCCAGAGGTAAACAGTCACGACTGCTAACAAATGCCAGTCGCTCCCGGAGGGTTCAGTCTCATCTTGACCAGCATCACAGGAGCCATCATGAAGCTTGAAGCTGGGCTCATCACATCCACTTTTTGGTTTGTGTCCTCGGATTCCTTAAACTTTGCTTTTAGACTTTTGGACTTTTTACTGTTCTTTGACGCTGCAGCCTCGTTTGGCCATTACTTTTGAAATCTCTTCAAACACTGAGCGTTTTCAGACTGAATCATATCTGGTACGAATCGGATTTCAGTGCCACATATGAAAGCATCTCAAATCGGAATAGGAAATGTCAGATTCATTGTGTTTTTGCTGTTCACACTGACACCCAGGTCACACATCTCTGTCACATATAGAGAAAAAGATCAGATTTGAGCCACTTTTACCTGCTGTGTGAACAAAGCCTTAAGATAATGAAAGTAGGGGGACGAAGAAAGTAAGGAGAGAAGTCACTGCAGGGGAGCCACAGCGTAAGATCTGTTAAAAGTGGGAGAACCTTGAACGTTAAATCTGAAATATTTTAAGCTTTAATGTAAAAGAGCTTGTGGAAAGAGAATTTGCATGTGTGCATGTCTCTCTCTCTCTCTCTCTCTCTCTCTCTCTCTCTCTCTCTCTCTCTCTCTCTCTGTGTGTGTGTGTGGGGTTAATGGGTGTTAACCCGGCCATTACGGAGCTGAGGCTGAATTACCCTGCCGATGATGTTTGCATTAATATAATATAAATGGTAATTTCTGCCCTTAATTACTGCAGTGTGGGGGCGCTGATCATGTGTAAAATTGATTTGTGGGAGAAATGTTCTGATAGAGCGGCGAGAGGGGAGCGCACGGTGATGGACAGCTGCAGGAAAAAAGTGCTGTCGAGGAGGAAAAAAATCCCTCTCCTTCCTCTCTCTCTTCCCATCCTCTTCTTCTTTATCTCTCTCTCCCTCTCTCTCTCTCCCTCTCTCTCTCTCTCTCTGCCTGTCCTATTAAAAATAAGGTGGATCAGCACTAAATATATATACATCACTCTGCAGCTGTCTTTAACTGGTGAATTTAAATGTACACTCCATTTTTTTTGACCCTCCCTCGTTTTTGGGAATAGTAAGCAGAGAGAAGGAGGGGTCAGTGGATGGAGGGAGAGATAGAGATGTATGTAAGCATTTTTAAATGTCAGTTTGTGCGTGGGCTTATATTTTAGTGTGTAAAGTAGTTTAGTGTAGGGCTGCTCGATCATGGTAAAAATTGCAATCACGATTGTTTTGGTCAGTATTGATCATGGTTATTTAGCATGATTATTCACTGACGTTGGAAACGTCATGCATTTATTGAACTTTAAAAAAACTTGTCTTTTTAACAGTGGATTTTCTTGAACTTTGAAATATAATTCAGCAGTAAAGAAATAAAGGAAAGGAGCGCTGGATTTATAACGCAAGACAAAACAAAACCATCAGTGTGAAACAGAATGTGATATAGTAACAGTCATCTCGATCATCTTGTTTTCATAATCATTGGAAGCCAGAATTGTAATTAAAAGTAAAATTAGATTAATTGCCCAGCCCTAGTTTAGAGCAGGTCAGTAATGTAGCCATAATATTTTATTTGAATAGCCTCCAGCGCCCCCTGCGACCCAGGAGGATAAGCAGCTTAGATAAGATGTGTGTGTGTTTTGTATATATTTTATTTGATTTTATTTAAACCCAACTGCCCCACTGGAACTGGTAAATTTAAAACTCAAATGCACCCTGAACCCACATCTTTGAGGCCTGACCAGGCCCAACTGGTACCTCAATTTAAAGCCCTAACCTGACCGAAATCTGGGATTTTGAAACTAAACCTGACTAGGCCCTGACTAGTACTGCTAAATTTGAAGCCCTAACTTGACCCAAACCTGTGTTTTTTACACTAGAACCGACTGGCAGTACTTAATATGAACCCAAACCAGACCAGAACCTGAAGCTGTGTTCAAAACCACATACTGCTACACTATATATAGTACACTAATGAATGGACTTATGGGTGTTGAACTATTTTTGACGTGCTATTTAGTATGGTAGTATGCAGTTGAGGACGCAGCCTGAGTTTTGTCATCCGGCCTAACCAAGCCTGACTGGCATTACTGGTACTGGTACTGCTAAACCCAAACCCGACCTGTATCTGTGTCTTTGAGACCTCACCCAAACAGGCCCGGCTGGTGCTGCTAAATTTGAAACCTGACCTATACTCACATCTTTGAGACCCAACCTGACCAGGCCCGACTGGTGCTGCTAAATTTGAAGTCTTATCTGTGCTCACATCTTTTAGACTTGGCCCGACCAGTCCCAACTGCTAAATTTGAAACTCAAACCTGACCCAAACCGACCTGAATCTGCCCGCGTTGCTGCTGAACGACTGTGTCTGTGGTAAATAGGGACTGTTTTATCTGGTGTAGCGACCAGATCATGATGTGTCTACAGTGAAGACATCCCTGACTCATTTGGAATTTAAACAGTTCACCTTCTTCAGCCAACTTTCTTTTTTATTTTGTCCATGGTGAAAATCTGCTAACACATCGTACAAATAGACTGTACTAGAGAGAGAGAGAGCATGTAAAAGAGAGGAAATGAGAGTGAGCACATTCCTTCAAACAGAGACAAATGCACAACATAAAAATCATTGCTTAGAAAACAAACCCAAGCCCGAAATTTGTATGTGGAAAATTGACCTGAAGCCCGATGTTGGGGCTCAGGTCAGGAGACCTCTGTATTATCTGTGTGTAGCTTTATAAGGTAAACAGTTTATTGACCCCACTTAAAAGCTACTCTCTGGATTCCTTCAGCTGTCCTTAAAACACACACAGCATCCACAATCATTATTTAAATGCTCTCTGTTTTTTTCATATTGTTAAATTTAAATCTAAATCATTTAAATAATGATTGGGATGCTGTGTGTTTTGCTTTCTCAGCTTTCAGAACTGCATGTTTAATGTAACTCACTCAGTGATCAGTGATGATGATTAACCACCTGCCTCTCCCTTCTCCCTCCCTCTCTGTCTCTCATCCTTTTCTCTCTCTGTCCCTTTCTCTATCTCCACTTCTCACCTCTCCTCTTCCTTCTCTTTCTGTCCATCTATCCCTCTCTCCCTCCAACCCTCTCTCCCTCCTGTCTCTACCCCTCTCTCACATTCTCTCCCTCCCTCCCTCCCTCCCTCTTTTTATCTCTTGCTTCTTTTTCTCCCTTTTCTCTTTCTCTATCTCTCTCTCTTTCTCTTTCTCCCCCTCTCTCACACATACCTCACCATCTCTCCATCACTCTCAATCTCCCCTTCTATCTCTCTCTCTCTCCTTCTCTCTCTTTTCTCCTTCTTGCTCTCTATCATCTATCTCTCCATATATATTCTCATTCTCTCCCCCCACCCCGTCTCTCTTTCTGTCTCTCTCTCTTTTTCTCTCTCCATTCTGTCTCTCTCTCTCTCCCCCCCCCTTCTTTCACATTCTGTCTCCCCACCATCCCTCCCTCCCTTTCTCAATCTCCCCCTTCTCTCTCTCTTTTTTCTCCCTCTCGCTCTCTATCTCTCTCTATATATATACTCATTCTCTCTCTCCCCCACCCTCTCCCCTGTCTCTTTCTGTCTCTCTCTCCTATCTGTCTGTCTCTCTGTCTCTCTGTCTCTCTCTCTCTCTCTCTCCCTCTCCCTCTCTGTTTTCTCTCAGCAGAACGTGTTCAGAGACACCAGTCAGTATGTGGTTGGTGAGCTGGCGGCTCTGGAGAGTGAGCAGAGGCAGATTGACTCGCGGGCGGCTCGTGTGGAGAAGCGTCTGCGCTATCTCATGGACACAGGTACCGCGCCCAATTACGCCGCAAACAGCACCGCCAAATTGAGCGTTCACTAAAACTCTTGTGGAGTTTGGGAAGTGGTGGCGTTTGAAGCGGGGATGGAGGGGCCGGCCTTCTCTGGGCCGCCGCGATAAGCCCCCGGCTTCACGGGGGCCGATAACGCCACTGATAGCCAGCCGCTATTGAACACAACCCGCGCAGCCGAGCGCAACACACAGCGTATATCTGCCCTTCATTGATATGCTGGAGCACAGAGAGAGAGAGAGAGGGAGAGAGAGTGGGAGGGGGATGAAGGGAGGGTTAGAGAGGAGGGGGGGAATAATGTTGAAATAATGCAATACACACAGATACATGCTTGCCCCCCCCCAATACCCATATATGTGATGTAGTGGAGCGAGAGAGGGAATAAAATGAGAGAGAGAGAGAGAGAGATAAAGGAAGGAGAGATAGAGAAAGGGTAATAAAGAGAAAAGATGTGGGAAAGGGGAGAGAGAAAGAGTGCTAGAAAGAGGGAGAAAAAAGAAAAGAAAGCAAGGACAGAGAGAAAAAGAGGGCTTGAGGGAGGGGACGGGAGAAAGAAGAAGGGAAGGAGAAAGAGACGGAAGTAGAGAGAAGGAGGGATGAAGAGAAAAAAAAGTAAGGCAGGGAGAACAGGAGAGAGAAAATAAGAAAGGTAGAGGGAATGGGAGAGAGAAAAAGGAAAGGAGAAAGAGATGGAAGTAGAGAAAGCGGGGGAACGAAGGACGAAAGGAGGTAGAGAGAAGGAGGGACGGAGAGAAAGAGGAAGGGAGGGAGAACAGGAGAGAGGAAAAAACAAAGATAGAGAGAAGGAAGACTGCGAGGGAAGGGAGAGAGAAAAAGGGAAGGAGAAAGAGATGGAAGTAAAGAGAACGAGGGAACGTAGGAGGAAAGGATGAGAAGGATGGGTGGAGAAAAAAAACAGTGAAAGTAGGGGGTGGGAACAGTGGAGAACGAAGAGGGACAGGTCAGAGAGGAGGGCTGTGGAGGCTGGACTAAAGAGTGGGGACAGAAATGTTAAAATAATGCAGGACATACAAAAACATGCACGCATACAAACACAGCTGCTTCGGCTGAAATAGGAGAGTGGCGTCCAGCCGTCCGGCCCCTCGTACTGAGCAATCATTTCCCCCAGAAGTGCAGCGAGAGAGAGAGAGAGAGAGATGGGTTTATATGCTTCTTGGTCACATTGCACTCATATCAAAACTATCTCTCCATTTTGTGTTTGTCAACACTCCCCCCCTCCTCCTCCTCCTCCCTCCGTCCCTCTGTGCCGCTCTTGGCTGGTCTCGAGTCTATACACACCGGAGCCATTGTGCCAGCCTGAAGGGCTTTTCTCAGAGATGTGATATAAAGCTGAACCCGCAGGCCACTCAGGACACAAACCAAACAGCCTCTGATACGTCTACACGCACTCATAGAGCCGGAGAGAGATACTCACCTGAACGAGCCTACCTGCATATCGTCACTGTCGGAAGTAAAAATTATATCTCCAGGTTGGTAACTTCTCCGGAGAAGGCACCACATTCCGATATTTAATGGAAGTTAATATAGAAAGAGTTTATTCCAAGTCCTTTTGGAGCGATCCTGTTGGTCCATTCATCGTGAAATTTACACCCAAGCATTTTCAGAATATGTTAAACACTGAAAAACAACAAAAATAGAAATGAGGTTTTGTTCCGACAGCAGCGATATATAGATCATAGATATATGTACAAAAAGTTTGGTTCCAACAGTGACAATATTCCATAGAGATTACTCAAAAGCCAATGCGCGTAATGTAAACAGCTAAAGGAATAATTTGAGTGAAAAAAAAAATCAAATAGGCCAAGTATACGCTCTTAAAAAAGAGGTCTATATACAGTATAATCATATGGGTTTATGGTTTTATATATATATATATATATATAATATATATATATATATATTATATATATATATATGTGTGTGTGTAGAACCATGAATGCTCAAAGAAACATTTGATTGCTTAAATGTTTATTCTCCATGATGGAGAGCCTTGGGTACATGGCTCTTTAAAAATAATGGTGTTATATAGCATCGACGAGTTCCGCTAGTATATATCGCTGCTGTCGGAACACAACTCTCCATCTCCATTTTTGTTGTTTTTCAGTTTTTGACAGAATCTGAAAAATAATCTGTCTGTTGTCCTTTACATTGTCTGTAAATTTCATGAAGAATGAACTAAAAGAAACGGCCCGAAACGACTTGGGGAAAAAAGTCTGGTTCCGTTGACTTACATTGAAAGTAAAGTATGTTTTTCCTTCTCCTGTAAAGTTACCATTTTGAAGATACAAGGTTTTGTTACAACAACAACAGTATACTGGTTCATCTGCTATACTGGTTTAAGGTCCTAGTTTTGTCATTGTCATTATTATTGTCGTTATATTGGTATGTACATAAATGCAGGTAACGCAATGTGCATACAGTACAAAGCACACTGATTCCCTCACCTCTCGCATAGTGAGCTGCAGCCTGAGGTAAATTAGTATGGCTAATTGTCAAAGGAGCAGACCATTTTGTAATCAATTAATGTGTTAACAAGGGGAAAAGAGAGTGGAAGGAAAAGCCACTCTCTTGGGGTTAGCTGTTAGCCATTAGCCTAGCATGGAGACTAGCCGGCTTCTGCAGCGCTCCTCGCTCAGCCAGCTGCTTCAGCCAACACCGCAGTCTCGGCCTAAGAGCTGAGACGCTCCGCAGCTTCTCAACCACACCTGATAGTGTGAACGGCTGTAATATTAACTAAATTCCATGAGTGTCTGACGCTCGTAGATTAAAGCCCGAGTGTAAGAGACGCACATATGACACAAATGGCTTTCGGGTGTAAAGCAACGTTCAGCGCTGTGTTTACGAAGCTTAAGTCAGCTTTTATTCGCCAGCTTTTTTCAGTTTTCCCATTCCACCTAAAATGGTGTAGTAGTAACTGCTGTGGAACAGAAATATTTAAGTAAGAAGCTGGCGAATAGGAAGCTGACTTCGCGGCTGTGGGCTGTGCATATACTGACCTTTATCTCTTTAGCGTTCGAAAGCAATACTGTCTCTATATATTGCTCATTTCTGGTTTTACTGTTTCGCACAATAAAAATATTATATATGTAGTTCAGTTGTTAATTATGGTTCTTATTAAAAATGACATCCAGAATAATATGCCATTATTAATCTACAAAAAAGGTTTACTTAAGCATCCATAATGGTTATTGAAAGCAGTATACATAAATAATATACAGAAACAGACAGTAATCTTAATTATACCATGTTATAACTGTTTGCCCATACTGCCCACTGTTAGATTCCACTACTGTTGTGAGCGAAGAATCCTTTTCAGTCCTATCTAGAACCTTTTTTTTTTTTTTAAAGAGTATAGTCAGTCCGCTAAGACATGTTTGGTGTCTGAAGTTTGCGACAAGGCTAACGTGGCTAACAAGTAATGGAAACTTACAGCCCACCAATTAGCACAGTACAAACTACATGCCAAAATGAATATGCAGTTGCATCAAATCTATAGAAATGATCACATCATATAGCTAAAAACAATAGTAACAGCAGTCTTAAAGCCTTAATTATCCCCATGCTTTAGTCAGTGTTTATAGATAAAGTGTGTCCTACAGTGTGGCAAACCTCATAAGCAAGTCTATTGGAGATTACTTAATAACTCTGTTTTAGGCATGCAGTTAGCACCATGCTAATTGGTGTACATAAGCTTCTGTTACTTGCTACATCAGCCTTGTAGCTCCAGTGCAAAACTGAAGAATTAAACTTAAGACACCAGACATGTCTTGGCTGATCAGTTACATTAATGTTAGGGGGAAATTTTAGCTGAGCTGTTCTTATAAGCCTGAGATGGTCTGTAGTTTAATACTCTAATACTCTTATATACTCAAATCCACTTTGTACGTCCCTTGTTGAACCATGCTACTCTACACTTTAGTGTACTGCACCCAATTACCCCCAAACCACAGTTAATCCCCCTAATTGCATATTGAAATGACCATAAAAGACCCTCTTACACCCACATACTCTTTCATTGAGATATTCCTAATTATTATCTCAAACTAATTATATAAAACAATTATGGATTCCTCCTCTTTGATGTCATTGGCTGTATGTTGAGGGAGAGCGATACTCTGAAATCAGTGTTTGCTTTTCATGTCCTGATGAAAGCAGTCATATGGACCGGGTGGGAAAACTGGGTCAGCACTGATTACCTTCTGATTGCTTCTGATAAGCTGACCTGTGGGCTTTCATAGCTGTTAAAGTGGACACCGTTAAAGTGTACTGGTGCTCAGTTTGACTGAGATGCCTTATGTGTCCAACTGAAGTTCCAAATGCTTCAGTCTGACGTCTACGTTCTAGAAAAACAGAAGTGGACATCTTGAAGTCTGTCTTTTGTCCATACTTTAGTCCATGATTGGAGATAACTATGTGTCCATACAGTGTCAAGAACCACGTACTCAAGTTTATTAGAGGTACTGAACTGCTTCATAGCTGTCTAGGGGTTTACCTGTTTTGCTTTCGCTCCAGTCCTACAGCTGTGAGTGTAAAGTCCCTCGGGTTATCACACTGTCCAGTACCAGACTGTACTATATGGTCGAATTGCATTGCCCAGTGTAATTGGCCTCTTTAAATTAAAAACCAGACTACTGATTGCACACTCTGACATTAAAACGGGTGCTAAGTAAAATCAACCAGTATCTAAATGATGTGGTTTGGCATCGGAAAAGTCCTATCAGTGTGGAAATTCATTTCTAACGGAATTTTGTTTAGTGTGTCAGCGTGCTGGAAAGATCACAGCATCGTGAACTGTTTCTGAATTCTTAGTTTTTCTTCACCCTTATCAGGATTAGGTTAACAGGTGTGCGATAGTTATGAGGCAAGTGTGATGATTTGCAATGCAGTTAGCATATTGTTGCCCTCGTTTCTATAGGCTCCAATTACTTGTTAGCTAATTTAGCCACGGAGATCCACTG